TATCATACATTCCCATAATTATACACTCGTTAGTATAATAAAATCATTTTATTGAATTATATAATCTAATAAGGTAATAAAAGTTATGAATGAATATCTAAATATTTAAATGTCTTTAAAAATTCCAAGAGATAGAAATAGATAGATAAATAAAGAGGGAAAGAGAGAGAGAGAGAGATAGAAAGAGACACAGAGAGAGAACCAACTTTAACACGAATATTATTTTAATATTTGATTAACTATAAAGAAAAATTTAGATCGATAATTTTCCAAATTAACAGATTTTCTTTTTCTTTGTTCTTTTTGTTTTTTTTTTATACTTATAAAAGCGATAATTTAATAGAAATTTTTTATGATGAAACTATTTCGACTTTTTCTAATGATGTTTCTCAGCTCAGAATAATTTTTGATTTAAACGATACGAATGGATTCGCCTTTTAAAGTAAAGAAGAATTCGGAGAAAGTAAAAAATTCACTATTATATTTCATTTCATCTTATTCACATTATCATTTAAATGGAACATTTTGTTTTATATTAATGGATTTTATAAAGGAAAAAAAAAAAAAAAATAATAATATATCTTAATATTTTTTTCTTTTTTTTCGATAATAACGAAATTCGTTGATTATTTAAATTTCGTTGATTATGTAAATCTATCTATTTGAAACGTGTATAAATAATATCATGCATTTACAACGTGCAAATGAAATATTATTTCATTTTAAATATTATTTATTGAATTTATATTATATTTAAAAAGGAAGGAACATTATTTATGTTTTGTTTTATATTAATGGATTTTATAAAGAAAAAAAAAAAAAAAAAGAAAAAAAAATAATATATCTTAATATTTTTTCTTTTTTTTTCGATAATAACGAAATTCGTTGATTATTTAAATTTTGTTGATTATGTAAATCTATCTATTTGAAACGTGTATAAATAATATCATGCATTTACAACGTGCAAATGAAATATTATTTCATTTTAAATATTATTTATTGAATTTATATTATATTTAAAAAGGAAGGAACATTATTGACTGAACAAATCGATTGAATAATCGAGTAAAAGTATATATACGATTGATAATAATATATAGAAATTAAATGAATTATAAAAATTATTATGAATTATAAAAATTATCGAATTATAAGTATTATTTAAATACTTACTATATTTTCAAAAGAATGATATGTGATGGAAATTTTCAATGTTATTTTATGTGTTATAAGAGTAAACAAACATATATATATATATATATATATAGTTAAAGAATTTCTTCATTTGTGAAGAACTTTGAACGGACGTTGAAAGTATCTTTAATGATTTAATATAAAATAAAATCAGCGTTAAATAATGAAGTGTATACATCTAAGAGATAATATAATCGATGATAATTAAGAAAATCATTTGATATTTTATTTCAAAAGAGAAGGGGATAGAGAGAGAGAGGGAAAGAGAGGGAGAGAGAGAGAGAGAGAGAGAGAGATTTATTGTGGGTGGATAGAAAGTGAAACTTTACTGTTCCACTATAATGCTATTCCGTATGATAATAATTATAACAGAATGTATCTCTTGAACATTCATATCTCCGTGACTATGCTTTTATGTTACTGAATATTTTCTATGAATTTATTCCCATTGGTTTTACGTGAAAAACATTCATTTATATCTCTTATCTTTCTTTACCATTCACATTTTCTCTCTCTCTGTCATTTAAAAACACTCTTGCAAATATTTGAAAATGTTACAATTGTTAATTAAATAATAGTTATTCAATTTAGTTTTATATTTAAATAATCTTTTTTTTTTATCTATCAAAAATTAACAATCAATGAAATGTAAATTGATGATTATATGAATAAAATTATTTTGATTGATTTATCGATTAAAAAGATATTACGTACTATCTTGCGAGATATTTCCTTTATATTTTTTTAATTATGCAAGTTCATTCAAATATTTTCTGCGTTGCGTCTCTCTCTCTCTCTCTCTCTCTCTCTCTCTTTCTCTCTTTCTCTTTCTAATATTTCGATCATATTATTTTATCAGTACAATTTTGATTAGAGTTTATTAGGACAAAACATGTGGACGGACTTGCAATGATATATAGTAAAGAGAAAAAAGAAGGAATAAAAGGAAAAAAAAGAAACAAGAGAGAGAGAGAGGGAGAGAGAAACATTTATCATTTATCTTTACTTCTATATACAACTTATATATGTTATGTATGTATGTATGTATGTATATGTCATTATAGAACGTATGCGATGATTCATACTTAGAAGTGCAATGATTCAAATTGTTAATTCAAGTAATGTGACCTTCTGTAGTAAAAGATGAAAATAAAGAAAGAAAGAGAGAGAGAGAGTGAGAGAGTGAGAGACAGAGAAAAACCTGTTTTATTATCTATAGAATTCCTGATTTTCTAGAATGTAAAAGGGGGAAAAAAAAACAGAAAAAAGAAAAAGAAAAAGCAAAACAAAGAAAATTCATTTCCAACGTATAACAGCAAGATTGTCGATAGTTAAACAAATAATTCGTAATAACGATTAATATTCTCTTCTTTTCTTTTTTTTTTTTTTTATATACATAATTTTGTTCTTATATAGCTTACCTTTTCTTCCTGTCGGCACGCTGTAAGTTATATCATTGAATTCAATATCCAACGGTTCCAATTTCTTAAAATGTCTCAAATGTTTCGAGACTTCGATATTATACGATTTATATTTTGTAATATCGTTCTTCTCTTCTCCATTTTCAAACATGTTTATATTTGAATTCATGATTCACTTTACACTGATGTATTTGATGATTATATTTGATGACTATATGTATTTGATAATTTAAAAAGTTTCCGACGCAGAATCCATTCTTTTGATAATTGATTCTATCTTCGTTTATTTCTGAAAAATGAAAAAATAAGAATAATTGTGAATTGAATATATTTTTGATTAAATGTATTTGTTTCTCTCTCTTGTTTTTTTTTTTTTTTTGCTTTTTTTTTTGTATCTTTTGTTTCGTTAATAATTATCAATGCAACATTTTATATACTTATAATCACTAAATAATAAACCTATTTCTTTATTATTTTATATTATTTAATTTTTAAAAATGAAATAATCAATGATCTTTCGATATATATCTAAATAAATATTCATAGATTAATTAGATATGTATCTTGAGTTTTTTTTTTTCTACACTCATAAAGGAATTATTCAATGAAAAATATTAATAAATAGGAAAGAAATATATAATCCATGAATCATAAAATGATGCTCTTGAGTATCAGGGATATTTGTTTTTTTTCTTCTTCTTCTTTTTCTATTTTGATCATAAAAAAAAATTAATATATTTGTATAGATCAATAATAACAGTTTAAAAATCAATTAAATGTCAATTAGTTTCGATAAGAAAAAATATTCATGGTCATAAAATTTGAATACTGTTATTTAGAAGAAAAGCAGAAAAAAAATCTAATTATATCGTAATGCATATAAGATTTATTTTTCTTTTTTTTTCGTTCTTTCTTTCTTCCTTTTTTTTTTTTAATCCGAACTAAATATTCTAAGCACACAATGAAAAAAAAAGGAATAATAATCATAAGATTAAACTATTATACTGTTCCACAAATAAAAGCGTGAATAAAGAAAATATGTTATTAACATATTAATATATACGATAAGAAATGATCATCGATAAAACATGTTACCGACAATTTATCAATGACGTCTGGAAAGATATTCTGATGTATTCATCGTACATATGTTTCGTTTTTTGTTAAATTTTTTTTTATGCAGTTTGTTACATCGGAAGATATGAGTAATTTCAAAGGTATAATATCTTGCAGTATTGTTAAATATTTTACAAACAAATCCTCAGGTTTAAATTATAATAATAAGTATAAAATAATATGTTGGTATATAAAGTACACACATATATATATATATATATATATATATATATATATATATATATATTATGAACCTCTATTTTTGCTGTATAATACGTATTTGTTTATTCTACAAGTTCGACGATATCGAATTAATAACTAAATGAGGAAGGTGGCTCGTTAACACTTTAAAGAAATTTTTGGATTTCCTGGATCGAATAAAAATTTGCTAGATCTCTAATAATCAATAATTTATCACAGACAACATTAACTCACCGATATTATAGATTATTAAATGACACATAATATTAATAAGATAATGGAATGAAAAATAAAAACATTGAAAAAAGAATATAAATTCAAATTCTTGTTAATAATCAAATGATAAATAAAAAATTCAACGATTATTTATAATCATATTATCATATCTAAAATCGATTTGATAAGGAATTCATTTTCATTATAAAAATAGCTTAGATATTTATACAATTAAATATATATATATATATATATATACACCATATAATGCATATGACCGATACAGTTTATTGCTCATATATATAATGTATTCAATTACGATTAATTTTCATCGATAAATATTACTTCAATATAACTATCATCAACAGACAAAATGTAATTCTCATGTCTTGATGATTATTTTCTTTTGTTATAATGCACAATTAAAAATCGTTATCAGAGTTTATTAAGAATTTATATTTTTTCTTCAACATTTGGTAATCATTGCATAACATTAGAATGTATATAAATTCATTGAAATTAATTGTGGAAAAATTCTCATGTTTTTTTTTTGTTCTTTTTTTTTTTTTCTTACGAACACTTCGATTACAAATAATTACTGCAGTTATTGATACGTCTATAATTTCTATTTAATGCCAGCATTACAAAGATAAAAAAGAAAAAAAACAATTACTATGTTACAATATACTGATCGATCAATAAAAAGTCAAATGCAGTAAAACGTTAAAGGTAATGTTTCGTTCATATTGTATTTTTTCTTTTTTCTTTCTTTTTTTTTTTTTTTAAACACACATTCAAATATTAATCACGATCATGAAAGAAATTCGATTAGAAAAGCAGAAAGAAATAATTCGTATGATCACTTGTAATAATGATAATAGTAAGTGAACAAATCGATAGTAAATAAATATTTATTTTCTACGTCTCTTGATCGATTTATCCATTTAATTTCGTTCTAATAAGATTGATTTTAGATTTAATCGAATAATTTACGACAGTTCTTTCTAATCTTTTTCATTATCTACATTTTTTAATATTTTTTGTATTTCACACAAATATACGTACAAGTGATCAAAAAATTAACTAAAATAATTAATATACTTCCAATTGAATCCATTGAAAGTATAATTTCAAACAGATTTAATTTATACTTTTATTTTCACTCTTTTATCATGCTAGACGACTTAATATTTTGTTCGTAAGAAAAGAAATATGATCTCTTTCTCTTTTTCTTTTTTCTTTTTTCTTTTGCTTATTCATTTATTTCTTTTTCTTTCTCTTTTTTTTTTTTTTTTTTTTTTTTTAGCAAGACACGTTCGTTCGTGAGTTAAATATTCAAAACAAAATAAAGGAACAAGACTGTATTGCATCTTATTTAATAAATTTTGTATAAAAATCCAAGAATTATGTATAAAAGAAGAAGAGAGACGAAGAAATGAGAGAGAAAGAGAGAGAGAGAGAGAGAGAGAGAGAGAGAGAGAGAGAGAAAACAGATAGACAGATTAAAAACAAACAGACAGATTTCATCATCACAGATAGTGATCAATTTTTATAAATAGCAAATGTGAAAGTGATGTCGATGAAATGATGTAGATTGAATTTATAGAAAGAAATAAATAAGAGAAAGAAATAAAGAATTAGAAAGAAATAAATAAGATTTTCTATAGAGAATAAAAATAAATGTTTAATATCAATGGACATCGTATGAATATTGTTAAAGAGAATATTAAAAATATTCCGGTTTTTTTCTTTTTTTTTTTTCATTTTGCTTGAGAAAGAAAAAAAGCACGTGCGCACACAGCACACACAAACACACAGAAAAAGAGACGAAGAGAGAGAGAGAGGCACATAGAACTTTGTTTAAATATAAATCTAACTATAGAATAAAAAAAGAAACGAATGGTCTTTGTTAAATAATTGTGCGAATTAACGTACGTACGTACGTACGAATGTACGAACATAGAAGACTGATAAAATGTAAAAAAAAAAAAAAATAAATAAAGATAAGAAGGTAGATATAAAAAGAGAAAAAGAAAAAAATAAAAGAAACGAACTTCGTTGAGGTGGATACGAATAGAGATAGAGAGAGAGAGAGAGAGAGAGAGAGAGAGAGAGAGAGAGAGAGAGAGAGAGAGAGAGAGAAAGAGAAAGAGAGAGAAAGAGAAAGAGAAAGAGAGAGAAAGAGAAAGAGAGAGAGAGGAAAAGAAAGAGAAAGAGAGAGAGAAAGAGTTACACACAAAGAAAGAAGAATAATCAATTTCTATTTCACTCCCACGATTTCACACTTATTAAATTGTTTTAATCTAAACTATACTTTTAATCTTAATATAATATCCATCTCACGATTTTTCAATAAAAATAACTCTCGAGTATGACGAAAGGAGAAAGAAAGAGAGAGAGAAAGTGAAAAAGTGAAAGAGAGAGAGAGAGAGAGAGACAAATAGAAAGAGACAGGTAGATACGAATAAGTAAAATAGATGTATACCGTGCGAATAGTAGCGGCAAACTGACTGTAAGCTTGGCTAACGCCTTCTGAACTCTTACTTGAAGAATTTTTATAATAGGAACGTCACTGCTCACACTGGTTACTATCACGCATGCTTCGAATTCGAACTGAAGTAGGGCTTGTATATTCCTTCATCTAACAGCATTATTTCTGTCTGTTTCTCTGTCTCTCTCTGTCTCTGTCTCTCTCTGTCTCTCTCTGTCTCTCTCTCTCTCTCTCTCTCTCTCTCTGTCTCTCTCTGTCTCTCCCTTTATCTCTATCTTTGGGTTTGACTCTATGAATTCTCAAAAATTATTTTTCTCTTTTATTTCTTCTTTTTCTTTCTTTTTTCGCCACCTCCTCTTTTTTCATTTCTTTACTGGTCCATCTTCTTTTTTTTTTCCTTTTTTTCTTCTTTTTTTTTTTCTTTTTTCTTTTTTTTTTTTATTACTTTTTATTTTCCTTTTTATTTTGTCGATCAAATCGAACGATAATTGGATCGACAATATCATTGATTATGTTTATTATTCGTTTGAAATAGTAAAGGATTCTTGTGCATTGCATAATCGTATGAGATTATAATTGAATGAATATCGTTTATTTATTTAAAAAAAAAAAAAAAAAAAAAAAAAAAAGAAAAAAAAAGAATAAAAGAAACAAAAAAGAAATAAAAATTTTTGATAATCTCATTGAATATCTAAATTAAACGTTTAATACGATAAAACATAATGGATAATATTATAATAACACGTTATATAATTTAATAGTTTGAATGATTATTATAGACACGTGATAACACAAGTATACTCTGGATACATCGATCATAATAATGTTCTGATTAAATACATTGTTTATAAGAGACTTAAATGAATAAAGCAAATGGTATACGAAAATTGATCCTTTTTTGCTTTTTTAAACTTTGAAGAAAGACAAATTATATTGTCAATAATTCTTTTTTTTTCTTTTTTTTTTTTTTTATATAATTATTCGAGAAACCATTTCATGGTATATCATTAAAAATATATCAACATAGAATGATGAAGCTAAAGTACATAATATCAGACCTTCGTAAATGTATACTATAATTCATTTCTTTCTGGATTAATTTAATATATTAGAATTTACGAGGACCTTTGTGTATTCGTTTCTAATTGTTATAGAAGTTATATAAAAAGAAAAATATCATAGTCATTCATAGTCGATCGATCGTGTCTTTTTTATTTATCTCTATTTTTTTTTATTCTTGATGATAAAATATTTTTTGTCATATTACATTAAAGATACAGAAAACACACAAATAACCACTTAGAATTGTTCTGATCACAAATCCTCATTAATTTTCGATTCTTCCAAGTCTTTTTTTTCGAAATGCAAAATAAGTTATTAAATGATTTCATAACAATCCACACATACGTATTTATATATATAAATATATATATATATATACATATAAATAAATATATATATATATATAAATATATATATATATATACATATAAATAAATATATATATATATATAAATATATATATATATATAAATATATATATATATATATATATATTAATTTTTACTTTGTTATTATAATATTGTCAATTAAAAAAAATTCATCTTTGGATCAAAGATCAAAAAAAAAATCCTTGAAATGTAATTTGCATTGTAAAACAGGATCACAAATTCATTTTTTTTTATCGAATGACAAAAAGATAGAATGAAAAATATTAAAGGAAATAACTTTACTGTATTGATCATTTTGATGATCTAACTTTCTTGATTTTAATAAAAAACAAATAAAATTACTAAAAACAGTTTCCATTTCTTAATAATTATATTAAATTTATCTCTAATTCTTCTGAATAAAATAAATGAACGTTCAATAATAATTCTTGGAAAATTCTCAAGTATAACAACGTAGTCGATGAATTATATATATATATATATATAATATTATAATTATATATATATATATGTTTTTTTTTTCAATCGACATTATTGGTCTCATAAATTCACATTCTTTTTTTATTCCTCTAATATATGAAATATAAATATATATATATATATATATATATATATATATATATATATATATATATATATGTATCTTAGATGCATAAAGATCCTCTATTTATGATTTTATCTATATATTATATATCAAATATCATGTCATTTAATAATTAATTATAAAGCATGATAAAATATTTCATATTGATAATTTTCTTTTATATAATTTTTGTTTGTCAATATCATTAGGTTTTGTTTTCTTAATTTTTATTAAGCTATTTTTATATTGCTATAAAAAATTAGGACAGTGTTCCAAATATTTCCTTATTACTAATATTTAATTGCTTCACATTAATCGAGTAATTAATTGTTATAAAGTTATTGTGACCTTCACGAAATATTTTTAATATCAAGTATGTACTAAAAAGATATATATAACATGTACATACATACACACAAAAATACACACATGATCATTTTTTTTTATGAATTTTAATCATCATTTCTATGCACATTTTTCTAAAATAAAAAAAACAGAAAAAGTTGGAAACGAAAGTGCATGTACATGCATATATATGTAACACGATCATTTTTGGTTAGGCACAATTGCCAGAATAAATATCTTTTATGTATTTTATATATATATATATTTGTTTATTTGTTTTTTTTTTCAATCGACATTATTGGTCTCATAAATTCACATTCTTTTTTTATTCCTCTAATATATGAAATATAAATATTTATTTACATTGGAAGAACTTCTCAACTAATCTCTCTCAAAGATTAGATTAATAATCTGAATTATTTTTTGTTAATCAATTTGTCTTTTCGTAATTAAAGTTATTTGTCATATATTAAGTAATAATATAAAAAATAAAAGATTCGCAATGTATCAGCATATGAATACGAATATTTAATTCTCTTATTGTGTACAAATAATTTAGCAAAATTGTATGTATTAATAGTGTAAGCTAAGTATCTTTTATTTATTTTCTTTTTCTCTCGATAATTAGAATCAAAAGTGAAGAGATTAAACTTTTGAGATGATACGCATTATCGCGAAATTTTAAATTCATACACTCACAGCCATAAATTAATCAACAGAAAAGAAAAAAAAGAAAGAAAGAAAATAAATGTAAAGTAATAATATATAAATCATAATTACTAGAATTATTCTATTTGAATATTTGGACAATTTAAATGGATATAAAAATGAAAATTCATTAAATAAAGATAAAAGTGATAATATATTAAAAATATGTACTCCTTAACTTTTACTGCTTGCAGATGATATTATTATATATAATTACTTTTATAATTAATATAATTACTTTTTAAAAAGAATGTCTACATTCGTGAATATATTCATGTATATATTAGTTTAATAAAATATGTAAATATGTAATTTAGTAAATATGTAAGTATATCCACAATAAATAATGCAGAATAAAATATACATTTTTATAATACATGATATAATAAATATTTGTCCAAATCTTAACTACACTTTTATCTTTTCTTTTTTTTTCCTCATAAAACTACATATCTGCATAAACAACCACAGTATAATAATTATTATTATTGACTATGAAAGGTCATTTTATGGCAATGCTACGCCTAAATTGCATTCATGAATCATGAGTAACAATTATAAAAAAAATGAAGGATAGAGAAGAAAAAATCATACGTTTCTTTTCTATCTATTTTTTTTTGTTAACAAATGATCTTTGACAAATGATCATGATTTCATTACGGTCATAATGACTTACATATAAATTGAGAATTAACATTCATAATCAATTTGTTATAAAAAATCTAATTGTAGTAAAAATAATGTTAGCGATCATAACAATAATAATAATAATAATAATAATAATAATAATAATAATAATAATAATAATAATAATAATTACAATGATAATAACAATAATAATAATAATAACGATAATAATAATAAATTTATAATAACATTAGAGAGATATATAGTACCCTGAATAAAAGAAGCACATGACTTATAGTTAACCACCGTTATCTATAGAATAATTAGCAACTAAAAGATAAATAAATTATTTTATAAATTTCGTACAATATAATAAATGGAGAAGAAGAAAAGCTAAACGATAATTTTTTTCTGCGTGAAAACTTTGAGATTGAACATTTTGAAGAATTCTTTTTCGTTTCATTCTTTCTATTTTCTTTCTTTTTTTTCTTTCTGCATTAATTTTTTTAACCGTTTGGCAGCAAACAAGCTTTTTCGTTAATCTAAAATTAGTTAGGAAGTAATTTCGTACGCTTAGACAATTATTGACCAGTTTATAGTTTTATTAGATAGATAAATATATATACATACATATATACATACATACATACATACATATATATATATATATATACATACATATATACATACATACATACATACATATATATATATATATATATACATACATATATACATATATATACACACATACATACATACATATATATATATATATATACATACATACATACATACATATATATATTATATATATAGAGAGAGAGAGAAAACAAATAAAAAAAGAAATATATATATATAATATATATGTTAAAAATTTTTTAAGATAAACTTAAAATTTTGTTAATATGATATTTACCTAGATAGAAAGATCACAGGTTGTTGTACGTATCGTATAAAAAATCTCTCAATGATACGGCATTTGCAATCAAACGGTTATGGATCTCGTTGTTATATTTTTCTCGATTTCATTTCGGCACGATCTTCTCTCGTTCATTACATACAGTAGATTATCTTCTACATTTCTACGTGAAGTAGTATCGGCAAGCGAACCAAAAGATCGTCAAAATGTAATTGTTCACAAATTCGAAATATATTTGATACCATTGGCAAAGTCATATTGATCGATCTTCCGATCTTATCGTAGAACGAGGAATGTATTTCTTTCGTAATCTTTAGACTATCGTCGAGATCATGAATTTGAAAGAAAATACAAATGATAAATTTATTAATTATTATCGGGCTGATTTTAATTTCCAACGAAGAAATAGATACGCAGTGATTCGTAGAATAACGAATATCAAAAGAAGTGCAAGAATGTCCAAAGTGAAATCAGCATCAAGCATGTCGAGCTCCTCCAACGTCGTTTCTGGATTTTTAAAGTGGCAGTATACCTATGTAATAAATAGAACAACGATTATGGATCATTCGTCGTCGTATTAATGATAACAATATAAAGATAGTCTATCAAAACAAATTATATGTTTGGATTAATATAATTGTAATCGACTGAGAATGAAAGAATAAATAATCAATGATTTGCATTGATGAAAAAAAAAAAAAAAAAAAAAGAAAAGAAAGAAGAAAAAAGAAAAAAAAAAGGAAAGAAACAGAAAGAAGAAGAAATTCTCATTGACAATTTTATATCCCATTTCTATAAATTTTAATGATTATTAAAAATATATTAATAAATAAATCAATTAATTTAATTATTAATAAAATGTTATTACCTGGAAGCATTTAAGTTTTTCTCGTGCAAACGAATAAGTGGCTAATGCTGTTCCTTCAAAACCATATCTGATATAACTAAGATAGGTTATCCATCTAAGGTAAACAGGAATAGCGTCGAAACTGACGAAGAAACCCGAAAATAGTAGAAATGGTACTGACATTACTGGCGCTAAAAATACGCCATTTTGTACATTCATGGCAGCCCCAACAACAAGACCTACAGATTGTGCGACGAATGATATCAACAGGCAGGCACTTAGGAACATGCTGAATCTCATCATTTCGGCTGGTTGACTCGTTAAGAAATAAACGATTGTTACGTAGATTATACAAAAGATGGTCTGAAAAAAGAGATCGATATATAACGTATACAAATTAGTAATAATAATAATAATAATAATAATAATAATAATAATAATAATAATAATAATAATATTAATATTATTAATATTTTAATATTTTAATATTATTAATTTGCTTCTCGTTAGATAACATTTCTGTTACGAGATATAACGAGTGTATTGATAAATGAAAAAAGTTTCATTGATTTACTTGAAAAGGTATGTCCGACAAAGTGATGGCCAAATAATACGCTTTCAGGGAGTACCACCTGTTAAAATTTTCTTTGAGAAGTACTGGAAGTTCTAACGGGACTGTAATAACAATAAGAACTTCGATCAGTCAAATGCTCTTTTTTTTTTTTCTTTTCCTTTCTATTAAATCCAATAAAATGGAAGATCAATTATCGAGAATTAACTTACAGGATAAAATTGTAATTGTCATGGACGTGTACATAAGGAATAACATGTTGAAGAATAAAAATCCAAGATTGCTTAGTACTTTAGCACCATCATTACCAATATCATAATAAAGGGCACTTATCAAAAAGCCTACCAGAATATGTGCAAATAGACGAAGATACATCAGAGTCTAGAAGAAAAGAAAAAAAAAAAAACATTAACAAAATATATAATACGTATGTATCATTAATGTGCATGCATGTAATATTAATTAATTTAAGTAATTTATTATTAAACGTTTTGTTATTTTTCTTTTATTTCTTTTTTTTTTTTTCCCCACTCCTCCCACTCCAACTTTTCCAACTTACCCAATCTCTTCGACTGAAAAGTAACGTTCTCTTTAAAACGATCCAGAATTGTACGAATTCTGAGGTAGGATATCTTTCCGGTGTAACGATGATCGTATTATCGAGAAGTGCCGCATTGACGTTATCTTTTTCATTAGAAATAGATATTGTTACATCGTTAGCTGTTATTAAAATAATGGTATGAGTATATTATTAGATTTTAATGAAATATAATATTTAATCCTTTGAGTGCTATGGGCGCATATACGCGTCCAGCGAAAGCTATCGATATAGACTATGGACGCAAATACGTGCTCGGCAGATGCTATCAGTATGGACTATGGACGCAAATACGAGCCTGACAAAAATGATCAATGTACTATGGTCAAATGTATATGTTCGGCAATTGTTTCTATTGTCCAACATTCTGAAAAAGTATTCAGCACTCAAAGGGTTAAAGAAAAATTAAAAATAATAAAAACAAAACTCTTGATAATGAATAAACACGTAAGTAAGTGTTTATCTCGTAGGTAAAGAAGGAAAAAAAAATAGATAAATAGATAAATAGTGGATAAAATGGAAAACGTTCAATGTACCTTGCTTGATAATGTCATTCGTGGTATAACTTGGAATAATTCCACCGTTATTAACTTCCTTTGTTTGTTCATTCTCTGGAAATTTTTCCTCGATATTACTGACATCATTTTTATCTTTAACCACTTCTCGTGCATTCCCAATTATTTCTATGTCCTTCTCGAAATTCGAGTTCGCTCCGCTATTATTCAAACCATCATTTTTAATATCAGGAAATGGATGACCCTCGCGTATATCATATTTTCCATTTTTTATCGCGTTCACCAAATTTTTCAAATTATCACCGTATTCCCCACAAGCGACTTCGATTACTATAAAATTTTCGTTATTAAATTGATTAAGTCGACTTAACAATAATAAATTTTTTTTTTATTTTTTATTTTTATTTATATTTTTATTTGTATTTTTTTTTAAACAAGACTATTTATCATCCGATAAAATTACTTACTGAAAGATGCTGGGTTATGATAACTTGGACAATTGAGATTAATTATTCTTAAGAATGATACGAGCTGAGATGTAGATCCTTGATAAACGCATTGACCTTCGGCTAGGGTGTACAAAGCATCGAACATTTCGAATAATCTTGCACTTGGCTGATGAATCGTACAAATGATTGTTCTCCCACCACGAGCCAGTGTTTTCAAGAGGGATATACATTGAAAACAAGATGACGAATCCAATCCACTGTAGAATCAAATAATAAATTATTATTATTATATAAAATTTATTTATCGAAAGCTATCAAGGATCTGTTTGTTTCGTATCTTAGATTAATCAAAATTTATAATCATTGATAAAACCAAATCGTTGCACGATCATTTAGAATAATAAGTAGAATAATTAACATAATAATAATAATAATAATAAACTTGAATAAAAAACAAAACTCATGCTCCTTTTTTTTATTTCTTTTCTTTTCTTTTTTCAAGGACAAACAAGGACCTCCGAAATAATATCATCCGTTCATTTATTTTTCCTCTCATAACGGTAAATAAAAAGAATAGAAGAAAGACGTTTAAAGACCTTTTGATCTTGTGCATATATATTCATGACTAAAATATCTTTTTTTTCCGATGGGAGAAAAACAACAATCAACCTACCCGAAATATTATTCGGAATATTTAAAATATTAAAAAAGAAAAAAAAAAAAAAAAAAAAAGAAAAAAGAAGAGAAAGAAAAAAAAAAAGAAACGAAGAGAAAAGAATTGCTTAAGGCGTCTGCTTATTGCTAGTTTTGAAAACACCAAAATTATACTGTGTGGAAGAGAAAGTGAATGAGAGTTATCGTGTCAAAAAGTTGATATTAATGTCAAACTTTCACTGACTGCTTGGTTGTTCTCAAATAGAAATGAGGATCTTGAAATTCAGATTCGTTCGTCATGAATTAGAAAATTAAATTAATTTTAATACGATATGTCTCTGAATGTATATATATATATATATATATATATATATATATATTTATATTTTGATAAATAATGAGAAGTAAATAGGTCATAATTCACTAAAAATGTTAAAAAGACCATGAACTACTGCTTGCAAAAGTAAAAGTAAATATGTTCTTTCGAATTCCTTAAAGTTTTTATTTTGACTTTATTCGAATCTATTCTTATATCATTCAAAATAATCTTCAGATTAAATTCGTTTATTTAATAATTATATTCAAAATGGAAGAATTTTAATAAGTCTCATGTTGATGTTATCTAAGAGAACGTTAAATTTTTATTAATACTTAGGTTAATTACCTCGTGGGTTCATCGAAGAACATAACAGGAGGATTATTGACAAGTTCAAGGGCGATCGAAAGTCTTTTCTTTTGACCACCGCTTAAATTCAAGGTCATAGTATGTTTGTGCTCGGATAAACCGAGTGTTTCCAATATTTCTTGTATCTGAAAAAAAAAAGAAAAAAAAAACAACGTGTTCATTATAATATGATAATTGATAACTAAAATAAATTCATTTTTATTTATTTAATTAATAATTAAATATTAAAATTTATTCTATAAATTCTATTATTATATTTGCCTTAAATAATATAGGTATTATATAATACATTTAAATAACTTAATATTTTTATTGTATTTTCAATAAATAATTGAATTTATTAAAATTTAAAGAGTTATGAAATTTTTATAATATATTAATATATTATTTAATTACACACACACGCACGCACACACACACACACGCGTGTGTGTATATACATATATTATAATATATTTAACTAACTTGATATTTTGTCTAGTAAATAATTAATTAGATCTATTAATACCCTTTATAATAATAAAGATGCAAAGTTTCTATAATAAATATGTTATTTAATTTTATATATGTATATACATATATTTTTTTTTTTAAATTAATAATTTAACTACATTATTCAAAGACTAGAAAATTATAATAATATACAAATTAATTTATTTATTATACGCACCACTTCTTCTTTCTCTTCTTTCGGAACGTGTTTACCAAGTTTAAGATTTGCAGCGACCTTCATAGCTTCGACGACAGTTAAATTGCCATGAAGCTGATTATCTTGCATGATGTAGCAAGAGAGTTTTCTAAAGACACTTAAATTCCTTTCTTGTTCATTCATCGTTATACTTCCTTCTACTCCTGCCGATCTGAAAATACAATTAATTTTTAATTTAATATCATTAACCGTTTATTTACTAAGTATGAAATTAATTCCAATCAAAAGTATTAATAAATAATTATTAAATCTTAAGAATGCAAAGATAGATAATTTAAAGTCCATTCGAATGCACGATACTGATCGAACAAAAAAAAGAAAAAAAAAAAAAGAAAAAGAGAAAAGAAAAAAAAAGAAGGGAAAGGAAAAAAGAAAAAAAAAGAGAAAAGAAAAAAAAAGAAGGGAAAGGAAAAAAGAAAAAAAAATAAGAATAGCTTCTAATGAATAATTCATAAAAATGATATATAATTAAATTCAAAGCTGATAATAACATTTATAATTCCATCAATAATAATTTAACTAGGAATAAAACTCGTTTAATATATATTTCTCTCTCTCTCTCTCTCTTTCTTTCTCTATCTATCTATTTATATCTATTTATTTTTCTTTCATAATACAATGAAGTCTATGTATTACATTAGATATTTACAAGTCGATCAAAGAAAGAAACCTGTTTTCCTAAATTATAAGTAAAGCAGAAAAAAAAAAGAAGAAAAAGGAAAAAGAAAGAAAAAAAATAGAAACGATGATAAAACTTTTATCTGTTTATTTTTGTCCCTTATCTTTTAAGAATACGATAAAGAGTACCTTTCTAAAGAAATGTAATACTTCTCTATACTATTTCAAAATCGAATTTTATATAATTCTCTATGTATAAATTTATCATTATTTATCTTTAATCATACGATATTTAATTATACTTAAATATATATTTATGGAAAAATTTCTATTATATATATTATTAGACGAAGGATTATAATTCTTCTCTCGTATTTGACGAATGAATCTTATTTCTTTTTTTTTTTTTTTTTTTTTTCTTTTTTTTTCTTTTATTGAAAGTATTAAAACGAAAAGTTAAAAATTGAACGGAAATTATTTGAAAGAAAAGAAGAAGATGAACGAGACAGACAGGAAACTTAATTTTTCTTTTGGATCATTCTCGATAAAATGAAAAAACCTTGACACTCGGTCTTGATCCTAGAATCTCATAGTACGCGTGTTTATGCAAATGATGAATATAAATAACTTAGTTGAATGTTCAAATGCCATAGAAATAAATTTTAGTAAGAGGATAGACGGGATTACGTGCGTGTACATAAAATATTTTTTTCAAAAGAAAGAAAAAGAAAAAGAAAAAAAAAAAGCTGGGAAAAAAAGTGAATAAGAAAAAAAAATAACAAAACGAAGAGAGCGATAAGAAAAAAAGGAAAGATAAAATTAAATTATGTACCATTTAAAATGTTAATGATTTTATCGTAAAAATACGACGGCGCGGCGAATAACAATTCAAAAATCTGTTTGTTTAATACATACCCAGTGGATAAAATTTATTTCATTTCTCGATAAAGTAACGATTAGGATAAAAAGAAAAAAAAAAAAAAAAATAAATAAATAAATAAAAATTTTTGCTAACAAAAAGTATTCTTTTCCACATTCCGTTATTTATATAATCACAGAGAAAATGAAGAAAGTGAAATGATTTCTCTTCTAGTAAATATAAGGTAAAAGTAGTTCTTATAGGAGAAAAAAGAAAAAGAAAAGAGAAAGAAAAGAAAAGAATGAAAACAAAAAAAAAAAGAAAAAAAAAGAAAAAAAGAAGAAAATAAGTAAAATCGAGTTCTTGTGCAAGTTTACTTATTCATCAGCAATCCAGATGTAAAACCTTGACCGAACGATCTTGTTATACAATAAAAATATTTTTAAAAAATATCTTATAAAAGTTAAACTTTTAAACAATGAAATGTTATATGAAGACGGCTGAATAAAATAAATTATTTCTGTTTTTTTTTCTTTTTTTTTTTTTTTTTTTCTTTTTTTTTTTTTTTTTTTTTACAATATATAATCTAACGTAAATACATCGCGTGTGTAACGTAACACATAATGCGATTGATTATGATGCTACTTTCGCAAGTTACACAATTTATACATCACTACGAATAGAATAATTTTGTACTTTATATTGTGTGTTTAAAAAGTTAAAAAAAAAAAAAAAAAAAAAAAAGAAAAAGAAAAATAAAAAAGGAAAAAAAATGAATACAAAGAATAAAAAATAATCGAATGAAACATAAGAATATGTAACATGGAGATCGTAATTATATATCACGTGTCCGAATATAAATATTTTAATTCATTTAATTGAATTACTTCATCTTGAAATAATATATAGAAACGTATAAATAAATATTAACTCACTTATATCCAGTGAGTATATTCAAAAGAGTCGACTTTCCAGCACCTGATGGTCCCATAATGGCTGTTAACTCGCTAGAACGGAGTCTTCCGCTCACAGATTTTAAGATTGTTTTTACATCTGTAAAATAAATATTAATTAATTAATAGGAATACGAGAGAGAGAGAGAGAGAGAGAGAGAGAGAGAGAGAGAGAGATAGAGAGAGAGAGAAAGAGAGAGAGAAAGAGAAAAAGAGAGAGAGCACAGTAATAAAATTGTACTGTTGAAATAAAAAATATGAAATATTAATATAAATAATAATTTTTAAATATCAAATCAGATAATAATATAAATAATTTTGAAAGATAAACACGGAATAAAATGATAGTAAATTACTTCGAGATATTACGTTACAATGAAATGTAATTACCGAACGTGTTCTGTTAACAATGTAATAATAATAATAATCCTGTTAACGATAACAATAATAATAATAATAATAATTATTATAATAATAATAATTATTATTATTATTATCATCAATGTGAGTTTATTAATATGCACATATGGTACAAAAGTTATATGATATTTTCATTGTGACGTATCTTTATTAACGTTCATGGTTCCGGATATCGAACAAACAGCGTTGAATAAGCAGGACAAAGTCCAGATAAATGAACGCATCATTCCGTTTTATTCGTTAATAAATTTAATGGCGTTGATCGAACAAAACAATTACCAACTGTTATTATCGACATTGAAAGAAAATTCTATTATTAAAAGAAAAAAATTAACGATGATAATTATACAATTCTCTTTTTATTTTATTTCATTTTTATTTAATATACAAATTTAATATGCCAATTATACTTTTTTTCTTTCTTCTTCTTCGTTTTTTTTTTTTTTTAATTTATAAATTATCTATTATAAAATCTATTTCATTTTGAAATAATGATTTAAAAAACAAAAAAAAAACAAAAAAAAAAAATAAATAAATAAAGAAATTATGTAAAGAAGAAAGAAAAAATACAACAATCGCTCTAATGGATTTTCTGACATTTAAAAAATATTAAAATTTCTAATAATTATCACACGATTAATATTAATTTTGCTGATCTTATTTTTTTTCTATTTTCTTAACAAAACTTTGTCCTTCCTCAAAAATGTTCTTTATAAAGTTTTTTTTTTTTTTTTTTTATATATATAAACGAGATTTTCATTAGTTAAACCTAAAGGAAATTAATGTGTAATAAAATGATTAGTCAGGTGAAAAATAATCGGAACAATTTGGTAATAATAAATACCTTAGGAGGAAGTAAATTAGTGTAACAATACATTTTTTGAGTTTAAATCATTCAATACAATCAAACAATAAAAAATATATATATTTATATAATTATGAATCTAATTGCATAATTATTTTAAATAATTTAATGTACTCTTTCTTATTTTTAACACAATTTGTATTAATTATTAATTACATTTTTTAATCAATGGATTAAGTCTTTTTCTCTCAATGAATTAAATTTCAAATAAAATTATTCATATAAAATTATTCATGAGAGAATAAATATTTCAAATAGTCATTTGAAAATATTTCCCCATAGTTCTTGTAATATTACTTATTTATTTCTCAAAGTTACGCAAACGTGTTGCGTCGCGTTAGAGGTAATTTTTTTTTCAGTGGCTTCCTTTGCTTTGAACATTCTTTTACATTGCATTAACGATTGCATCGGAAATTACAAGTTTCCTTTGATTTTAAATCCAACCTATCCCTTTTCCCTCATAGATTGCAAACATGCACGTATATATCGTACATCGATTGTGAAAGAATTGTCAATTGTTAAATTAAATATTTCTAGTCACTTCTGTAAAAACTTTTCTTTTCTTTTTTCTTCTTTTTGCTTTTCCTTTTCCTTTTTTTTTTTCGTTCCCCTTCATTTGAAATCAAAATAAGAAAGAAGATAATGCAATATTATATTTACTTTTATATATTTATTATTAATTAACACAATTTCTATTGCAATAAAGAATTAATTAATTAAATTAATTTTCTTAGAATGATCATAGGATTTTACATACTTGATTCAAACAAATATTACAACAAAGAGAACTATTAAAATATTATTTATTTCTCTTTGTTTTCCTTTTACAATAACGAAAATAACAATAAAAAAAATTAAATTTGTTGATGATATATTGTGAAATGAATCAGTTCTCATAAATTTTTGGAAAATACGTCGAACATATGTGTGGTTATACGAAAAAAAAAAAAAAAAAAAAAAAAAAAAAAAAAAAAAAAAAAAAAAAAAGAAACAAATTAACAACGACAATATTTAATTAAAACAAAAACAAATAATGAGATTAGGGAACAATAGTTTCTCATTTATCGAGCGTTTTAAATATGCAACACGTTGATTAAATATTAATAATGAGTTGATTAAAAACTTGAAAAATTGATAAAGTCATAAAAGGAATGCTGATAAGTTACGTGTATTGCAATTCGCTATTGCACAAATATAAATGCATTTGAGCATATGCAAATAATAACATTGTAAACACACAAGAGAAAATTATACGAGTTAATTTGTTAGATGTTTTCGAGGAAAAAAAAAAAAAAGAAAAACAAAAAGAAAGGAGAGAAAAAAAGAAAAACAATGACGTTGATGTAGACAAAAAGAAATAAAAGATCGATGCACTTTACTAGATATAAATAAAATGCTGTCAGGAATTCAGAGGTTGATAAAAAAATTAAATAAAAAGCCGATGCGAAAACTATCTTCTTTTATATATATATATATATATATATATATATATATATATATGTATGTATATATGTATATAATTTTGCAGTAATGACGAGTAACAAATGTTTATTTCTCTCATTACGATTTTGGATTATCTCCTTTTATTTTTTATTTATTTTTTTTTCCTTTTTATCTTTTAACGAGAAAATTAACACCTTTTCAAAGAGAAAATTATCACCTTTCAATTCTTTTTCTTTCTTATTCAAGTGCATTACAATAATCTTTTATTTGAAATAAATATTATCTATAAATAAATTGATCATGAAACAATAATTGGCCAGAAAATAAAAATGAAAATATAAGTTAGAACGTATTAAGGATAATTTAATATATTGTAATAGTTGTACCTTCTGGATAAGGTGTCTAACATCAAATTGATAAATTGTACAAATCGTAGACAAAATGGGGGAGGTCAAAGATACATCAGTGTATCATATTATTTTTTGATAACTCTCATATTATTTATCTCTCTCTCTCTCTCTCTCTCTCTCTTTCTTTTTATCTTTTTTTATCTCGAGCACTTTGTTTGATAACTATAATTATTTTTCCCTTTGAATTCTAACAATTCTCACAATAAAATCTACGTCAATGTTTATTTTCGAACGAATCATTCGAGAAATAATGAGATTTATATTAAAATATTTTTCTTCCTTATATTATGACTCTTAAATAGGTGTAAATTAAATTAAAATACAATGTATAAAATAAACATACAATAAACGACGTTTATGTGAACAAAATTTTTCTTTATAAAAATTTATTTTTAGATGGTAAATCAATTAAAACGTGATTACCGTCGATTAAATTTTAATCATATAGTTTTATCATATATGTCATATAATTATTAATGATAATCAAATATTTACAAATATATAGAAAATCTAATTAACAAAATGTATAAGTTCTTAATAAAATAAGACTTAATCGACGTTAATCGTAATTCAATATAGGTTCATACGAAAAAAAAAAAAAAAAAAAAAAAAAAAGAAAAAAAATCTAAAAAAAGACATAAAGAAGAAGAAAAAAGTAAAGAAATTAAATAAGATAAAATAAAAAAGAAGATAAGAAAAAACATAAAACAGAAAAAAATGAAAGAGAAATAAAGTAAAATGAGCAAAATCAGCAAAGAGATAATAGCCTTCTTATCTAAAACATAAATATAAATCTTTTCGAGGATAAAGAAGACTTCAGGAATAGAAAAGTAGATGTACATATCACACGAGTCAATAGTTTCTCGAAGCTAACACATAGATCGTTAATCGTATTTGCGGGTTTATGTTATAACTGGATTTCTTGCAAAATCGAGGTCAATGATCGTATGCATGTTAAATCGGTAAGTAGTACACTGTTGTACTATTGATGATTTAGTAACTAGAAATTACTACACTTATTATTATTATCATTATTTATTTTTGTTATTATTATTATTATTATTATTATTATTATAATTATTATTATTATTATTATTATTATTATTATTATTATTATTATTATTAATAGTTAATAAAAATAAAAGTTAATAAGAAAGAGAGAGAAAGAAAAATATTTTCGATCGAAAAACGTATATTTATATATACAACGAGTTCAATAAAATTTTCTTCTCTCTAATTCGAAGAGAAAATCGAAGGTCGACTTAGAACTAAGAAAGGATGAATTACGATCGAACAATAACGTTCTCTGTTGCTATTTATGATGCATATATTATATGCATATAATTACCTATGTATGTATATGGCTTTCTCGGTAAATGCATTGATAAGAGAAAAGGAAACGTAATAATTTGCGAAAGAGAATTATGTTCCTTTTTTTACTCATCTTATCTTGAGTACAAGAAACTATGACACGATTTATTCACAATTTATCCTTTGTCTTTTCTTCTTCTTCTTTTTCTTTTTTTTTTTTTTTTTTTTTTTTTTACAAAATAATACAGATCATTATTACTACAGATTTTGAAATCGAAGAATGAAGTAAAAAGAAAAAAAAAAAAAAAAGAATATTATAAAATATACTTTTATAAAAATATTTCCTTTTAATTTTGAAATAAAATTTACAATCGTAGGAAGAGAACAAATAGGGCACGTATTTCAATTGTTAAAACTTTTCCTTTTGATCTTTCAACTATATCATTTGTTACATTACATATTCCGTTCGCGATCTCGGTCTAACACGACTTACAACATCATCGGTAAGTAGACAGTAAACTTGAATTATGTAATTCGATGAATACTATATACGTTTTCTTTTTTCCCCCATTCCTCTCTCTTTCTCTCTCTCTCCTTTCTTTTCTTTTTTTTCTCTTTTTTTTTTGTTTTCTCTTTACCTCTTTCTACGTTCCTCAATCTTTTAAGAAATAAAAATGAAATCCAAGTTTTTTATATCAAAAGGAATCGTCTATGGAAAAATATTAAAAGTATAAGCTTTCATCGATTCATTCTTTCAAATATTAATAATAAAAAAAAAGAACATTTTTTTTCTCCATTAAAAGAAAAAAAAAGAAGAAAAAAAAATTCAATTATAAATCAGTATGGGTAATGTGCTCTGGTGATGATTAATAAAAATCTTTTTTAAAAAGATTTTTATTTAAAAAAAATTAATTTAAATTAATTTAAAAATCTTATTAAAAATCAATTTAATTTAAAAAAAATTAATATGACAATATTATAAATATTTATCCTTCAATCTTCTCTCAACAATTATTTTATTCCTTTCGATGTACATATATTATACTTTATATCCATGCAATTTTAATAAGTTTATATATATATATATATATTTATATATATATTTATATATATTGTATATGACATACAATATGGTTGGCAACTAAGTGATTGCGGATTTTGTCAATAAATGGTCTTAGTCCATTATTTTGTTTTGTCAATGTATTTAAAGCACTTAATCTATATTGTTTTCTTGTTGTTTGGAGTTTTGCCTTTATTTTAGTATAAAAAAAAAAAAAAAAAATTGTATCGATCAATTATTTAATTTCGTTTTTATCTCAATTTAAAAATGGAAGAATGAGACGCGCATTTTTCAGACATATTTTATTGTATTATTTCTGAAAAGGCAAGAATACATCGCAAGCACATAACAAGAAGTTATGTGCCGTATATGGGATTGAAGCTTTGAAAGAAAGGCAGTGTTAAAATTGGTTTGCCAAATTTTTCATTGAAAAATGCCCAACGATTTGACAAGTCCAATTGAAATTGATGAGATCCATATCGAGGCCATTATCAATTTAGATTGTCATATCACAATACGTGAAATTGCGAAGCTCAATGTATGCATTCAAAAAAAAAAAAAAAAAAAAAAAAAAAAAAAAAGAAAAAAAAATTGAAACAGCGTGGCTATGTCAAGAAATTTGATTTATAGATCCCTCATCTGATTAAGGAAATTCATTTGATGCTACGAATTAGCATCTGCGATTCGCTTTTGAAACGCAACGAAATTGATTCATTTCTGAAACGACTGATAATTGGCAACGAAAAATGGATGGTTTA